TATATATATGAATAATTTACATTTGTATAACAATAGTAAGTAATATTAATATTAATGGTGTAATGGCTCTCCAAACAGTAATCTATCAGATGTTATTATCAGTACTAGTGTATGAAATTAAGGGTGAAGCATACTAATCTATTTCTAAGTCGATTTGTGGGTAACACGGAACGATAAGGGTGAGCAAACTATTGTGCATTTGATATCCAACAGTTTGCTGCATCAGCTGCCGCGTATAACCATAACCAGAGGAAAACAATGTTGACAGACGTGTGACAACATATTTCTTGGCAAATGCAAATGATGTTTTGATGGATACCCTTCTCTCTCTCCATGATGACTTCGCTTCTGATTGGTATAATATTTTCTAATAATTATTGAATTTGGACAAGAATTCTTATTATTCACCCCTTTCAACTATATTTTATTCCTATAAATAAATTAGTATTAGAGAATCTGTTTTCCAGGCACATTTGCAATGTTGTAAGTACATTGGGTGGCCTAACTACGATGCGTCTGTTAGTTTTTAAGATAATTAGGGTTAATAATTAGAATGTAAGGACAAAATTATATGCTTGTTCCAAAATTTGTACCTGCACTTAGGTAATTGATATGTAAACGAGATTACGTGTAAGATGCTGCTGAACGAGCATGCTCCAGTGGAGTGAGTATACATCATTGACACGAACAGTTTTATATAAAATAATGTTCAACAATGAATCATTGTCCAACTAGTAATCGTTTGTTATTACAAAAAAAAAAAAATGAAAATAAAAAAAAAGAAAAGAAAAGAATTAAAAAAGATTCAATTTAACATATTATATATTTTCTAAATTTTTTAATATCCAAGCAGATGCATATACATATATATATATATATATATTATATATACATACAATAGCATCGTTCTGCTGGACAGTGAAATAATAAATAAATACTGATTTAAATGTGATATATATTTTTCGAAACGTATATTTTATTATATTCATTTTTTATTATATACATATTAATAATATAAACAAACAATTTAATCTTATTAGTTATTATGAAATATAAAAAACTTTCATTTACATGTTATATTTACTCTACACCTGATTGCGGCAATAGAACCGACTTCTCATCTACTACCCACACTTATATATAATTTTTTTTTTTTTCTCTTTATACGTCAAATATACGATTGCTAGTTTTTTTTTCTTCTTTTTTTTTTTTCTTCTTTTTCAATTATCAAGTTATTATTAATATTACTTTTGTTGTTCTTATTATTATTATTGTTATTATTATTATTATTATTATTATTATTATTATTATTATTATTATTATTATCATTATTATTATTATTATTATACATCAGCCCGATAATCTTGTATTAACACTATCCGATCTCATCTCTCTCGCATTCTTGTGTTTTATAGAAGCAGGAAGAGGAGAAGGCCCAAGTTAAAAGGAAAAAAGAGGCCGTAGAAAAGGAGGAACGAGAGAAACGTGAAAAAGAACGTAGAGATAGGAGAGACGACGATGGAGCTAACAAAGATGATCAGGAAGGTGAACCTGGTGGTAGTCCTATATCTCATAAAGGACGAAGTAGTAGTACAGGTAGCAGTAGAAGAGATAAACGTCGTTCTAAGTCGAGGTAAGAAAATATCTGAATCATCATCATTATCATCTTGATACATACAATGTACTTACGTACACTTCACATTTGAACATTTTAACTTTACTAAGTTTTTTTCATACTTATCTATCTGATTTAGTATTTTATTTCTAAGAAGTTTTGATCGTTAACACGTTCCGTGCCAAGTGTACCACCAGTGGTACACTTTAAACTTGTTCTTTAGGCCACGTGTACCACTGGTGGTACACTTACCATTTGACATATTCATTTAATGCGCTAAAAATATATGTTTATAACAAATTTAAAATATTCCTATTAAAATATTGATGCATTATACAAAATGCAGTATAGAACAAAGCACATAAGTTTGTTTAATTATTATATATTAACAATAATTAATAATTAAATGTAATGGTTGGTTTTGTTAATGCCAAATTAAATGGCTTGAAAGACAAGTCAGGTAAAAAGGGCTTGGCACGAAACGTTAATTATAACGTATAATAATTTAGGGAATATTAAAAGCATTTTTATGAATTATAAGAAATAATATTTATAAACATTGTATATACGTGTTATATACAATTAAAGTATATCAAAATATTTTGTTCCTTTTTTTTTTTAGGTCAAAAGAACGTGAGAGGGATCGACAAAGAAACGAAAGGGATAGGGACAGAGATAGGGATCGTGAAAGAGATCGCGAAAGGGATCGTGAGAGGGATCGCGATCGTGAAAGAGAAAGAGAGAGAGAAAGGGAAAGAGATAGGGAAAGGGAGAGAGATAGGGAAAGAGAAAGAGAAAGGGAAAGGGAAGAGGCAAGAAAAACTGAAAGAGAAATAATGAGAGAAAGGGAGGAAGAGGAGGAAGCTAAGGAAAGGAAGAAAAATGAGAGGAGAGCTCGTGAAAAAGAGGCAGCTTATCAGGAACGTTTGAGAGCATGGGAGACACGGGAACGTCGTAAACAAAAGGAATACGAAAAGGAAAATGAGAAACGTCGGGGTAAAAGAGAAGCTAGAGAACGAGAGGCCAAACGATTAAAGGAATTTTTAGAGGATTATGACGATGATCGTGACGATGCCAAATATTACAAAGGTAAAGAATTGTCGCGACGTTTGGAGGAACGTGCTTTGGAAGCAGAAGCTGATTCTAAAGATCGGTGCGCCGAAAGACAGGAATTGCAACGACTTCGTGATAAACTTTATGCCGATGCTTCGCATCCTGATCCTGCTGCTGAATTCGAAAGGGTATTCTTTAATAGATTATTCCTATAACAAATTTTCTAAGATTTAATTAACTCGTTAAATAACATACGGCTTTAGATTTTTGTCTCTATGTTACATCAGTCAACCTACATTTTAATGTCTTTCTGGTAAATAGGATCACCGTAGTCTAAATTAAATGTTCAACAAAAGAGTCTAGCCACATTTAACGTGTTAATTAAAAACTATTATTTATTACAAGAACATTTAATTATTTCCAAATATTTATGTTAGCTTAAAGCGGAAAGAGAGGAGCAATATAAACCTAAACCAGTGATAACAATAATTGACGAGGAGGATGAGAAGGTTGTGAAAAAAGAGAAGGAAGTAATGCCGCCCATTGAAACCGAGCCAATCGAAAGCGACAGCGACGATGGTGTCCAATTCGATGATGCTTCTCAACCAGAAATACCTTCTAGAACTCCACCTCGTCATCATCATCATCATCGTCGACATCATCGCCATCATCAAAATCATCATCGTGACGGAGAAGAGAACGAAGAAATTATTGTTGAACCTGATCAAGAGAGTCAAAAAGATATTAGGGCATCACCCATGCATCAATCGGTTGGAACACCTGCTCAATCAATTCCACCATCGTTGGATGAGGACTCGCGTATGTCCCTTGTCAGTGAGCCGGAAAAAACAAGCGGCAGTAGGTTTTATAATGTGGCAGAGGCTGTTTATTGTTAATTGAAATGTTTCTTTTTCTTGTATATTTTCTATATTTATTTGATCAGTATTTTATTTGAAAGAATTTGTTGAGCTGGGTAGGGTATGGTTGCATCGGTACTGATACTGATGTTTTATTAATAATACTGATTTTATAAATAGCAGCTATATATTTCTTTTAATATTTTACGTGGATATAATGAATTATTAAGAATCACGTAGTTTTTGCTAATATCTAATCCTTTATTTTGATTATTCAGGTAATTTTGTTCCTTTCGCTATGGGAAGTGGTGGCACTCGAGGAGAACATAATGTTGGTAATAAAACACCAGCCAGTCCTAGTGCAACAGTCATTACAAATACTCAACAGACTAATCAAACTAGGAAAAGAGGTCGCATAGATGTGAAGGATGTTTTTAATAACGACGATGACGACGATGGTACTAATAATGCGAAGAAACGGAAATTAGTTCCTTTAGGTAAACACGTGATAATATAATTGAATCAATTAATTATTTGTAATATAATTAATTAATTATATTATGTATTTTCTGTACATAGATTATGGCGATGAGAAAAAGAAAAAGGTAAATGAGGAAACTACTCCAAAGCCTGGTAAAGAAGAAAGTACAAAGAGCCAAGAAGAAAAACGAAAACACATTAAATCTCTTATCGATAAAATTCCTACTGATAAAAATGCCCTATTTGGATATCAACTTGATTGGACGGTTATAGACAATGTTAGTATTAAACAATTTATTATTAATTAAACATATAACATATATGCACATGGAATATGTAATAAATTAAATTAATAATTATATATATATATGTATATTTTCAGACATTAATGGAAAAAAGAATAAGACCGTGGATTAATAAAAAAATCATTGAATACATTGGAGAACCGGAACCCACGTTGGTTGATTTTATATGCAGCAAAGTTATGGCTGGTAGTTCTCCGCAAGGTATACTCGACGACGTACAAATGGTATGTATTTAATCTTCTCTTTTTTTTTTGTTTTATTTCTATAAATATTTGACTTTTTATATGAACGAACAAATTAATTTTTATCATAGAACTATCCTATCAGAATATTTTCTTTTCTTCTTCTTGACTTCTGTATTTTCTTTTTTTTTTTACTTTACAGGTATTAGACGAAGAAGCAGAAGTGTTTGTAGTTAAAATGTGGAGGTTATTAATTTACGAAGTGGAAGCAAAAAAGATGGGTTTAGTTAAATAAATGTGTAACATCTACAACGTTAATCGATTTACAATTTATACTATACATAAATAAGAAAAGAAAAAGAGACAAACAAAGAATGAAAGAAAGAAAGAAAGAAGGAAAGAAAGAAAGAAAGAAAGAAAGAAAAAAACAAAACAAAACATGAGAACTATGATTACAATATAATCCGTAGGCCGCGAATCCTATCAATGCACTTTTATAAGAAAATACATAATTTTATGTAGGATAAATATCCCTACACCTCCCTTACCCTGTTACCCTCTATCCCTTCTCCCTTGCCCTCTCTATTCACATTAGACAAGACGAAAATAACGACAAGTTGCTTAATTAAAATAGATGATCTACGTGTGTAGCAGTTAATAATGTTAAATATAACTTGTAATTACGATTTGTAAACTTTTGAGTTCTCTTCAAGTTTGTTTCGTTGATATATCAAATGTAAAAAAGAATTATTATTATTATTATTATTATTATTATTATTATTATTATTATTATTATTAAATATCAGTAAAAAAAAAGGTAAGTATTATACATTCGTGGTTGAAATTAAATTAAATAACTATATTTAACAATTTTTGTAGCCATTTTTGTAGTTATAATACAAAACAATACAAAACAAAACAAAACAAAAAATATATATACAAACATGGTGCTCGAAATTTTTCCGTCTAAACGATGTTAGTACATTGTATGTATTGGAAAAAAAAAACAATGTTATAGAAAAATAGATTTATTCAAAAGTTATGATAAAAATTGTAAATCACTTGATTTCTTGTTCAGAATGCAAGTTTGACATCATCGTAAGATGTAAAGAACAACAGATGTTTTATTTAATTGCGAATGATCATTCAAAAACATTGAACGATGTTCTTTCTTATGCCACAAAATCTGCATTTGATAATTTCTTACAACACAGCACGTGTATTTTTGATTTAAAAATACTTCCGGAATTTCAATCGGTAATAGTAATTAAAAAAAAAAAAAAAAAAAAACTTAAAGAGAGAAATCTAAGATATCAATTTGGTATTCTCTATAAATCACTTTAAAATAATAAACATTATAGAAAAGTGTAAAAAAAAAAAGGTAAACGTAATTTGATTGGACATTTAAAGACAATTTCGTTGCTGAGTAAATTTAAATATTTATCATTTAAATCATAAGAGTTTGGAATTAAATTTTTAATTATTTATGTTTAAAGAATATATGTTTTTCTTATTTTCTAACAAAGAATACCGCTGATATCGTTTGGTCGGAAAAATCTCAGTCTCCTTGTATATCTTATATATAAATATATATATATATATATATATATATATATATATATATATATATACATATAAATATATATATATAAAATGAAATTAATATCGTATGATACCGCGTATAATATGTTAAATATAATATGTGTCTAATACGGATTTCAAAATTCAATTTAAATGAGTAGAAGAAAATTGTACACCAACTATTATATTATAATATCATAATAGTAATATTTAAATACGTAGGAATTCATTATTGAGAAAATATATTTAAAAGATCATTATGTGAAATTTCCATATTAACACATACGAATCGCAAGAAGAATATATCGTTCCTTTTAATTAATTAATTAATTAATTTTAAAAAAGAATTAAAAAAGAAAGGAGAAGAAGAAGAAGATCAGTAATTTAAGTACTAGTATGTTAATGTAAATATAAAGAACAGAAAAAAGATAAAAAAAAAAAAGGAAAAAAAAGAAACAAATGACTTGAAATAAAAATCATTTTTACATAAATATAACGAGTATAAATTTCTTGCAATATATTTTCTTTTAATTTTAATATCTTTTTTTCTTATTTATATACTCATCTTCAAATCACAATAAGAGAGAAATAAAAATAGGGAGAGGATCAACGATTTGATGGTATCCTTATTTTTCGTTTCTTGTACATTTATCATTGTTCAGCGTTCAACCCCTAAACGAGAGAAGGGTAGCAGAGCTATTCGAGGGGTTAACGAGTGGGTAATAAAACTAGAAAGAAAGAAATAAAAGAAAGAGAAAGAAACAAACTACTATACAACAAACATAAGATATATATATATATATATATATATATATATATATATATATGCTAGTAGTAGTGTAATGTATTATTGTAAATAACGTTTCGAACATAGGCGCAAAATGTAGAAAAGGATGCATAAATAATAATATATTCGAGAGTGAGAAGTAGACGAGGATAATAGAAAAGCTTATAGAGAAGTTTGAAATAAAAAGAAAAAAAGAAAAGAAAGAAAAGAAAGGAAGGAAGGAAGGAAGGAAGAGAAGGGTAGTGATCTTGGGGGTGGTACGCAATCGCACGGTTACAAAGAATCCATAAAAGATGGTTGGGGAGGCGTTTTTCCTGTAGTACCGAAAAGTAGGAGACACTTTGGGTAAGTCTCTACACTCTCTCTTTCTTTTACTTTCTTTTTTTTTTCTTTTTTTCTACAAGCGAACACAATAACGCCCTGCTATTACCGGAGAGCTTGTATTAAGTCCTCGAAAAAAAAGCTTTTATGCACTTAACAACAAATAATACAAGAAGTACCGGTAACGCTTGAAAATATATAGACGAAGGCGATCACATGAGCACACCAGAACACACTATAACTGTGTAGTTAACATTTCTCTCTCTCTCTCTCTCTCTCTTTCTTTTTATGTTCTTTCTGAAAAAGAATTTTTTGCGACCACCAACAGTAACAGCAGGCAGGCAGGCAGGTAGGTAGGTAGGTACGTACATTGCTCGGCCGAGCACACCGTCTGATAATTTCTAGGGATTCTTGAAAGACCAACCGACGAGTGAAACGACGACAGTTTTCGACGCCATCAGCGACGACTATTGAAAGAGAGAGAGAGAGAGAAAGAGAGATAAAGAATGAAAGGTACAAAAAAAAAAGAAATGGGAATGAGTGGTACAAGTCACAACCCCTTAAAACGTGCAACTTTCTTCCAGCCTTGTCTACTACTACTACAACTACTACTACTGCTATTATTGAAGTACGGGGGTTGTTCACTTGGGGTTGTTCGTTGTGGGACGACGAACTTTTCGAAGATAAAGTAATATTATTTCTACTCGAGTTAACGAGCGCGAGTAGTCGATCTAGACACGACGAGTCTCCTCCTCTTACCTTGGTATCGAAGACTTAACTGGAAAGATAGATAGATAGATAGATAGATAGATAGATAGATAGATAGATAGATAGATAGAGAGCAGAGAAGAGAGGCATTTCGCGTTTTGCATTTTACAGGTGAAACGTGCTCGAGATGTCGATCAGCGAGAAAGGAATATACTCTTCGAAGAGGGGGAGGAATGAGGATGAAGGAGGAAGATTCAAGGAATCGTCGCACGTACATTGAGAAAGGAGATGAAACGGTAACGAGTACGGTCCACGGTAACTAAATATTCTCACACAAGAGCCTCTTCTCCAAAGGTCGACAGAGTTACTATGAAAGAAAGAGAAAGAAAGTGAATACAAAAGGAAGGGGGTAGAAGATAGGAGGTGATTGGGTGGGATGGTAGATAGTGCTGTTTTATAAGAATACGATACAACACCCATCACGCAATTTATTCTACGAGCCTAACGAGAATTATCGAATCTTTGAAAAAGAGAAAGAAAGAGAAAGAAAAAGATCCTTTTACTAAGTACGCTTACTGAAAATCGCACTTCACGCGACATTTGCTACCAAGTACTCTTAGACCCTTTTTCTCTTTCCTTCTCGTCCTTCCCCATCCTTCCCTTTCTATTCCTTGTACTTTATCCCCCCCCCTCCTTTCTTTCTTTTTTATTCTTTTCTTCTTTGCTATCGCCGAGTTTGATCTTTGAATGCGAATGAGAGTCCTTTCTTCTTCCTTCTTTTTCTTTTTTTATCCTTTATATTATTGTTCAAGATGTTTTGTGTGTTCCTCGTAAATCTAATCTTTCCCATTGATGTCTAATTTATATTAGACACGAATAGAGAAGAACGGATCGTGTTTTTAAATAGAAACAGTTGTAAAATGAAGATAAAACATTTTATTATTTTAAAATGATTATTATACCATTTAATACTTGTCTTATTAGTACTTACTTAAAAATGATTCATTTTGTAAAAACGATATATACAAATTGTTATTACACTGATAAGAAGTCAAAAACAATAATAGCAATTATAATTATTCAATAAAGTTTATTCAAAGTATGTAAAATGTATTATTATTTTATTTTATTCTAAAAAACGAACAGAACTTTTTGTTAAATCTAATAATATTAAGGTGAAACAAAATGATTCGTGTGATTTTTTAATTTAATATTTCATTTGCATATAAAGTCATTTTTATGGACTGCAAACAAAAAAATTACACTATTTTAACTTATTCGAGGCCATGATTTTTTTCCTACACGGTTCTTAGGAACTATTTCTTTCTTTTTTTTTTTTTTATTATATTGCCAATTTTACAATGCCAAATTTTGTTTTTCTATACTTTAAAGATACTATTTATATAAAAAAAGTTTTATTTTTGTGAATACTTTACTCAAAATAACTGATAATAGCTAAGTATGATTGCATAGACGGTGTGCAAGTGTTCTCGAATGGTTTAAACAATACAATAAACGCACGAACTTTTGTTTCATCCTAATATATTAAATTATATATATTGTTTATATATATATATATATAAGGTAGTACAGTACTTTAGAAATGTTCTCTTTGGTGGTTGGAAAAAGTACCTAAGGCGAAAGAAAAGACTACTGAATACATATGGAATCACACACACACACACACACACATATTACAAAGTCATACATAAATACATACATACATTGGAAGACTAAGATAAAGATAGATAAATGGAAGAATGCATAAGAGAAAGAGAGACGACACCGATGCACATGCGGCATGAGATGCGGTTGAATGAAACAACGAGACGATGTGCCGAGGATTCACAAGATGAGAAGGTGGAACACGGTAGGAGGAGGAAGAGGAACAGGGGGTGGAGGTAAAGGTGGAACATGAGGTAGAGAATGAAGGGCGAGAGGGGGTTGGTTTG